ATATTCTAAAATTATCTGCGAAAATTCCAGCTATTTTTTCTCTTGTATTTGTCAAAATCCTAACTTACCTGTAAGAATATCAGGTAACGGTTCTTCCAAACGATCACCACTCTTAATATTTTTCACGGCTGATTTCATTGTGCGAATATGTGGGTGCTTGAAATTCACGCCCGCGCCTGAAAATTATTTTTTTACAATTTTCCAAAAATTTGTAGAGCTTGTAAAGGCTGCAAAAATACCTCCAATCATCTTGCCGTTATACCATAGATCTGTTACAACCATCTGATTCATGGTTAACGTTCCTGATTTATCTGCACAAATCACTGAAGCTGCTCCTAGTTCATCTAAAACAGACTTACAATTTTCTAATTCCTGAAACTAGTTTAAATTTTTTGACCCACCAATAAGGTCAAGCTTTTTGATATAGACGTTCTTCTGAGCCATTCTACGAGCTATAATCCGTAGTTGAGACATCACTGTAGCTGGTAACCCTTGAGGCACATTAGCCACGATGACTACTAAGAATCCTATTACAAAGTGGTCCAAAACGTTCTCAAACCTGAAAATCATTTTTTCAAATCATGTAAAGCTTAAAAAATCGAGGTGGCTTACTTTGCTACAATGCATCCGATCAAAAACATGGCCACAGCCATGCAAATAGCCAGCACTGTGATAAAATTAGCAAATGAACGAAGTTCTGTTTGAAGTTTGCTCTTTGTTGATGGTAAATGGGTGTGAAGGTTGGCGATACCGCCTAGTACCTGAAACGGAAAGTTGTGTGATAAATCTTTCATAGAATTCTCTAAAGTCTAAACTACAGTCAGAACGTTATCTTTCATGGGATCAAAGGTTAATTGCAAATTCTAGGGTCTCAAATAAAACTGTGATAAAAATTATTTTGAATTTTGATTCTTTTTTTTTTGTTAATTCCACATAACGCGACTGTTATATTTAGCATGTTTATAAATAAAGCGGCAAGGTACGATAAATATCGATTGTTAATTATTAGGAATGATTGTAGGGTAAAAGAGTTGAGTCTTATTCAATGAAATTTGAAAAAGAAAGTTTTACATTTTTTGAT